ATGAAATGGGAAACTCATGTTTTCAAGGATCAACCATTTTAATAGATGATTGTATTCGTTATATTTACTCAGGCTGGTGGTACTAAGGAATGAGATATCACTTTTTGCATGGCATATACATGTATCTGGCGGTCGCCAGACTATTAAGGTGCCAAAAATATGTTACAATTAATAAAAACAAAATTTCACATTGGTGAGGAATACAAAAAAAACTTGGCTTATCCCATACCTTTTACCGGCATTTTTTCTTTGAAGTACGGGCCGTTTTCCAATACTCAACTTCGTCTCCGTCTCAGGCTTTGTGTAAGAAACCAATCCTCGATTGTGGGCCTAAAGCGTTTAACTTTTAAATTGAAATACTGTAATGTTAGGCTCTTTTGCATCTTACTTGATGTTTTGTGGCACTATCAGACTTACTATTGCCCTATCTATGGGCCTTGAGCTGGACCAAGAGAGGGAGGTATTTTCCTAGCAACGAAGGCTCCTCTAGTCGGAACTGAACTTTGCTAGTTTACGAACAATAAATTAGGAAATGTGTGCGTCACAGTTGCATCTCTACCAACAAAATGTTGCAGATTTGGGGCAAAGGCCACCAAGTTGTCAGTTAGGGCCATTGTCATAAAAAAGTGGGAAATGTTTGGTTTCCTACGCATTTAAAGTGAAATAATCTGTGTGTCAGTAACAGCCCTCTTAATTTATTGTGTCTTTGCAAACTAAGGTCAAAGTTCAGGCAGTGGTCAGTAGCACTCATTTTCTGACAAATATCCCAACTGGGTCATTTTTGCAAAATGCTTCGAGCTGGCTGGGGGAGCATTCGTTCAGTTACATGAGTGTGGGCTGTCGGGTTTATATGCACTACTTGTAGCAAAGGTCATTGTTCACCAAAACTGGTCAGTAAATTTTGTCTGGTGTCATGATCCTGAAAAACCGGCTGATATTTGTTTCCTCAAGCACAGACAGTTTGCTCTGTAGCTGTTAGTTCTGTTGTACACACATAACACACTAACGATACTGTGGTGATGGGGGCGGTGTAACCAATTGTGCTTGGCGGAGGCCGAATCGAAAGTATTGGCAAGCAGTGTAACAAGTGTTACCTTTCAACACCCACATCTCTGAAAAGCGTTGTACTCTTTGTCCTGCCAAATGAAGGGAATTTAGGGCTTTATGCTGATATGAATGGTACAATTTTCATTAATAAATCGATGAGATCATTTTAGACGATGCTATATTTATTTCAACTGACCAGAGGGTACGATTTTGTGTGTCTGTGTTTATCGTTTGCGTTCTCTTCTGTTCTATTCCTTTTAAAAATTAGTGTATGGTCAAAGCCTTCCTTTTTAAAAAGCCTGTTATTTGTACATGTAGCTATCTTTTTCATGCAGTTTACACGGCAGATGGCAAATGACCTGCATTTCAAGTGCACAGAAAAACCCTGCCTGTAGAATGAGCGTCTAATTTTGGCATTGCAGTACATTGTAATTTAATAATCGTTTCTTCATTTATAAAGCCCACATTTTGTACAGATATGTTCAAATGTGCTGTACAATCAAGACATTAAATGTGGTCGAGGGAATGACATACAAGGGCGCCTCAGGCACGCCTCACCCACCTCCATCTACGTCCATAGAGTGGAGACAATAAGAAGCAGTTAAAGATTTAGAGGTGGGAGGAAAACCCCAGAAAAGAAATTTCTAGGTAAAACCCACGGAATTAGGTAGGGACTGAAAACGTGATCTGCATGTGGCACGTATGTTTCAGAGGAAAATTATTAACTGTGCATGTCCCGTTTTTAGGGTCATTTGCACCTGTAATCAGAGCCATGGGAATTCGTGCCAGGCAAACAGCTGTTTCGTTTCATGAAATTTAGGTTTTATTTTCACTTTTTGGAAATAAAAATTCCTGCCCAAAATATTTTCATGGTAAGATAAGGCCTTTTCCTGACTTGTTTTGTGAAAATAAATTTGAGAAATAGTACCAGAGTGGTCAAAACTAGTGATTTATGTGAAAAGCTCGTTTCGTAAGCCGTAGTTTGTTTACGTTTTGATGCGTTTTTGAGGCTCGAAACAAAGAATTCGAAGTTTTTTCCTGAAGTTTTTAAAAGTGAGCTGTGGTGGAGAAAAGTTGTGAAGATTTTAGATTTGTTGACGGTTTTGCGCTAGAAAAAGTAAAATTCTAACATGAATGTTTCATGGGGTAGTTTAAGTTAGTAATCATTCTTCCAAAAATTATCGAACGTGATAGGACGGCCCAATGTAAAATCCCCACAGGCAGACCACACAAGGGTCCCGGAAGTTTGCTGCGTGACCTTTTACTTTCAGGTCCATTTATCACCCCTTCATGGATGCAGACCACTAATTCAAGGGAGAGTTTCTAGCCAGCTCATTTGCATTAAAAGTGCCCCCACTGTATCTTTTGAAAAAGGAGATTGTTTGGCCCCTAAAATGGTGTGATTGTGTAAATCCTTGCCATCAACTCCCTGGGTCTATGAGCTTTCATATGAGAGCAGAATGGCTAAAAACTACGGCTGAAAAATGGTCCTAAGTGCCCGAGAAAGTTGAGGACTGCCACATGAAAAATGGCCGCAATCAGACTTCGGAAAAATCACTTTTTGGTGGTGATTTTGTTTTGTGGGAATAATTAAAAATGTAATGGGTAACCCACAAAAAATTGAAAAGAAATTGAAAGATTAGTGACCAGACAAGAATTTCGTTTGTGTTTCAGAAATCTCAGGGATGTTGGCGTGCATGTTATTGGGCCCTGAACACTATTTTCATGGGGCTTGAATTAGTGGACTGTACCCTTATAGCGTATTTTTCCACAAGGCCATCGTTCGCTCCTCCTCGGCTGTCATGTGCTTGGCAAATTCCTTGATCGGTGCCGTTGGTGCTGCCCCAGTCAGGTCTCGTCGCTAATAAAGCTTGTTATTTTGCGGCAGCAACTAATACAGCCGTTTCACAATGGTGCGCCACCAAGAGTTTGCAACGCGTTGACCAATCACAATGTGCAAAATTTGTCGACCCAGTGCGCGTTTGGAAAGGGTCGACAAATTTTGTGCGTTATGATTGGCCAACGTGTTGCAAACGATTGGTGGCGCACTATTGTGAATCGCCCGTATTGATAAACATGCACCACATTGCGAAATACACATCACCTGTAGTAAAAATGGCACGAATGGGGCTTCGTATAATGTGGACAATCGCGCGATGGGGTGGGACACGCAGGACAAGTGTTGAGGAAACTGAACGATTTGGGCCAACTGATACGGTTGTCTCGTTATGATGCAAGAGACTCACTGGCATGATGGAGTGCGTTTCGTTGTGTCCCTGATAGTTCCTCCGGATTCTATTATTGTGGAAAGTAAGGCACATAACGATTTGCAAATTTGAGCTGGTTAAAAAAATGTTATCAATCCATTGGGAACTAAAAGAGAGCCTCCGGTGTATCTACGAGTTGTACCTTCTTACGTCAGGCTCTGCCGTTCGTTTTCCTTGTCACGCAGTAGACCGTGTTCCTCTCTATGCATGGCAGATATAATGACCACATCCGAATAATGGGTGCACAGGCTGTAAATTAGTTATACACCAATTGGAGTGCTCGTAAAGCTGTGCTAAAACAAACATATAAACCACCTCAAATACTCTTTTATGTTTACTTTTCTTGTCTGACAAGCCTATTTCATTTGTGTGTATTTTGAAAGTGGCTCATGATTATTTGGAAATGAATTTTAAAAAGTATTATGGGCATCTCTAAAGAAAAAAGGCCCACTCCCCCCCCCCAAAAAAAACCACCAAATACAGCAGGTTACCCCCAATGATCCGAATCTAGTTTCCTCCAGAGAACTTCAGGTCGCACCTGGAATACATGTGTTATTGTTAACGTAGTCACCGAGGAGTGAAATATGGTGATTGTACCACGTGCGTTAAAGCAATGCTACAAACGTATAAAGTTATAACTCTGGGGTGCACCCGTATAAATAAATTCCCATAAGCACCGGTGATAAATCCCACCACTGCACCACTGCAGAAAAATGGTGTTCGACATGTCCTTTTTCATTATCCTTGCAATTAGTGGGCTGACTGATGAATTGATGAGAAGTTCTCACCCAAAGCAGACCACCCCTAAAATGAAGGAAATTTCCCTGTCCGGAGACTAGTAGCCATTTTGAAAATGCATTCCTCTGGCAAACAGCTAAATAGTGCCACTTTTGGACCAAATTGCTCAGAATTCAGTGGAAGTCCTACGTCCAGGCCAGAGGTTCAGTGCCATATTTCTTTATTTCCCCAATTCTATGGCTCTCAGGACTCTGTAATAGACCAAATTTTGAGTCCATAACTTTTATTCATGAGCTCGGCGGAAATTGTGGTCTATTTACGGGGGGTGCACCCTCTGTACCAACCCATTGGCTGCAGGCCAGTAAATAGGCCGAAAACTGATTGTGCTGGTCAAATCATCATAAATTTGTATGCACTCAAAATTCTCTACGAAATAAAGCATTTTGTGGCCCATGAACTTGAAGATCTGTAGAAAAGACAGGTTTCGGCGACCAAGTGAATGGCCTCTTGTGTCTGAGTGAGATTTGAACGAACTCGGTGCCTGAAAACGTTTTCGAAGTGTCGATTTTGCAAAATCGCGAGGGCTTCACTGCTTTTTAGGGATGACCTTCTGTGGGAAAACATATCTTCAAAGGTCATCAGTTAATGAATGGAAATTTGAAAAGAAAATGCAAAATCATAAAATGGACTGTAATTTGATGTGCGTCTCCAATGTCTGAGAAACTCATGAGGATGTTTCCTGATTTTCTGAAGTTCACGTATTTGTCACTGTTGGCTATGGCAGTTTATTTACCGGCCTGCGCTCCTCTGTCGATCTCCTTATGATAAAGACTTACAGCGACCTCAATAGTTCCAAATCTAGTCAAGTGTGATCCAACGGCTGTTTTACACAGCCCCTCGTGCATGATGAGGCCCACATGTCCTTGCAGATCTCTGGTGCAACAAATAGTCGTCAGTAACTAGATTCAACAACATGGCGGGGACAAGCGAAAGTGATATTTTTGGGAACGCGTCTCTTTTCGAGGATTTTTCGGATGCAGCACCCTCAGAACCACAGACCGAAAGTGACAGTGCTGAAATTGACGACCATGGTGACGTTTTTAAGCAAATGAAAGAGGAAATAGATGTACTAAAGCAAGAAAATATCCTTTCAGAACTAGAAAACTTCTAAAGTCCAGGTTTGGTATGTTTGGACAATTCACGCGTTGATGATTGTTGAACTTGACGGAGGCCTAGGCCCCTAGGCATGCCCCAACGTAGTCCCACTAGTGTGGCACGGATTCTCACTCCCGATCCATCCTTAGCCACACATCCGTATACGCCATTTCGTGTCGGCGTACAGAAATTTTTCGGCGCACCCACTTATCATTGTGGGCGCAATTTCTTTTGCACACAGAGATGATCCTTAAATGATCCTAAGATGATTCTTAGTGCCATTTATTGAATGATTTCACTCACGTTGTGGTATTTTCCAGTCTTTTTGCCCATTCAATCTCACGGACTCACTCTCACAGTTGCCATCTTTAAAATAAGATCATTGAACATTACATCACTTGACCCCTCATCGTCTCGACGGCTGTTCCATGACAGTTGACGCGGGTAAAAGATGACCTGGGTACGAGTTGATTTGAGCTGGAGTTTGGGGGTATGAATTGACCCAGGTACGAGTTGTCCTGGGTCCGAGTTGACCTGCTTACGCCTAGGATACCCCACAGTTCTGGTACTATTTTCTGGGGGTATGGCCAAGGATACCCTAGCATGCTCAGGCCAGGGCCCAGTCATGCCAGTCTGTGGGGTCTGACGTCTGCCCTGTTCCCATGAACGAGCGGGGCAGATATCGGACCCCGCAGTTCTGTGGGTAGGGCAAGGATACAGCAAGGCGGGGATTCATTACCTTTGGCACCCTGTTCCTATAATAAGGGAACAAATTCTACTTTTTCGAAATAAATTCTTCTTGTTGATGTCCTCTTTCATGTTAGAAAGAAAAGAAAACAGGGCTTTTGTTTTTGAGGGAACTTTTGGGGTAAAACGGCAGCGTACATGACCACCCTGAAGAGCTGGGAACTACAAGTAAGCGAATGTAGTCTGGTTCCTGAGTCGGGTAACCAGACGAAAAACAAAATGGCGTGATTCAACTGAGTGGTTGTCTTTTGCAAAACTCAGGTTAGAAATTTGAAGTTTTCTCGCTTAAATATTGTCAAAGTTTACCTAAACTAGGCCTATCAGGATTGAGTAATGGTTCCTTAAGGTCAAAATGTTACTCAGTTTGAGAAAGTGGACTTTGTTTCCTTATTATAGGAACAGGGTGTTAATGGCAATGAACCCCGCAAGGCGAGTATCCAGGCCACACTCATGGGTCTAGGCAACACTTAGCCCCACATGGACATGTAGGGCTGTAGTGGCTCTCTTTTATAATCTGTTGCCACCACAGCCCTACTTCAAGGCATGTCTTAAATGCCTGAAATCCAAACTGCAGGATTGTCACAAACTTTGAATCCTAACATCTTCAGAAATGAGAATGAGAATCACAAATTGGTTTTCACCTCATAAATTCCCACCTTTTCATCACGAAATTTTTCCTCACTATCCACAAACAAAGAGGGCATCTGGACAGCCACGGTATTGCAAAGCACATGCGGACAGATTACAACTTAATCTGCTTTCCAAATATAATGTAAAGTTACATGTATGTTGTGCAACTTTGAGAGTCCCTTTTGCAGTGGTTTATTCAAACTGGCAAAATTGCATCTTCAGAAAAAAAATAAACTGTACAGGGAAATGGACTAGGTGCTTACAAATGATTATAAAGATGAGCAAAAAAATTGACTGGAGCGGAATTTGAACCTACAACCTTGCTATCCCGAACAGGGATATTGACAAATGGGAAGAGCCATCAACGTAGGGCTGAATAGCTCAGTTGGTAGAGCACTGGTACGGTGTTTCAGAGGTCGCCGGTTCAAATCCTGCTTCAGTCAATTTCTTTGTTTATCTTATAATCACCCCCCCAGACTTTATACTTTTACCCTCAGTTTATCACACAGCCCAGTAGGGTCCCATTGGAGAGTTTTTCCTTGACTAACATTGTTGCACATCAGGAGCTGAAGAGACAGATGCGACTCCTTATCCATCCTGGGTGAGTGATAGTCGGGGATTGTTAATCATTTACAATTTTTGTATTGCTTAATTTCAGGATTTTTAGTAAAATGCACAAACAAAGTGTTCCCATGGTGATGTGCAGGGTTTTTCCTGACGTTCTGGTACATGTATGTTTGAGGTGGTCAAACAAATTTTGCCAAAATTCTAGTGCCTAAAACCAAAAAAGGCCCAAAATAGCTTCTATTTAAAAACAGTCTGTACATTTACTCCAAATTTCCCCTTATCTTGTATTTTGTTTCCCACTTTACCATTCTGAACTATTTGAAATAGATCTATTTCAAAATATCTAGGTTATTTTGCCTTTTCCTTCCACTATTTTAAATGTGAGGTGGTAAAATTCAACAGGTGGTCACTAAAATCAGTGACTTGGGCCACCTCACAGCTGAACAGACAGGGGAAACCCTGGTGATGCATGCATAATAGACCAAAAGATGAACATAGCCAATTTGGTTATAACATGTTTTTGTCTGAGTTAGATTTTCTGTTACCCACTTCATGCCGGATGACTTTTCTAAACATGGAGGATGTTTAAATAATAACATATTCGGGTAAATTCTCCACGCAGTATGGGATGACATCTGTGATTGGCCCCATGCTGGAGTGTTTCCCATTAAGTTTGTACACACACGGAAGCTCTGTCATTTTATAGAGGTCGAGTGTGTACGTGCAGCCTTCGGGTGGCCGTGGGCGGTGTCCAGGCATTGTAGTAAATATCATTCCAAACATTTTCCCAGACTCTCAAAGAAAGCGATCATGCTATCTCCTATGAGACCAATCTCATAGGATTTATGCCCAGGGTGTCAAGTGATGTCCAGGTATGGATTCCAAAGTTACATGTAGTATTTTCAGGTGAGATAATATCAAGTCCGAAACAAGTTCATTGTGCAATAACTATCCACTAGGGGTTACTTAAGAATTTTGTACATTTCCAAAGAAAAAGAGATCAACCATGTTATGGGTAACTATTCAACAGTGGTAATAGATGTAAAACGGTGTAGCATCTGCTGCAGTGAAATCCAAGTGAGGCCTCGGCTTGGAAAATCCTTTTCATTACTTTGGTTTGTTGTTTCCTAGTACATCGAAGACAGGAGCAGCCATTCCTGATGCCCCAGTGGCACAGGTACTCCTCTTTGACAATGAGGCTATTTGGTGAGTTCCATTTGATTAACCCTAATCCTCCCACATCCTCCAAAATCCGTTTCTGCAAAGTGGAGGAATTTGGAGGATTCAGGGTGTATGGAAAAATTGCATGGCAAATTTCGAAGGATGCCATACGTGAAGGTCTTGGGTTAGGTCTTATCTTGTCTGTGCTTTAAGCACAAATTCAGCCTGATATTTCTTTTGAATCAATCGCACTGCTCAAGAATGCCATTCGCACCGCCTCAACATAATGACAGGAATTGCTGGAGGATTTTGAAGGATTTGGGCTGTTGGGCACACCTCTAAATGACATTTTAAAGAAATTTTGGAGGATTTGGGCTGAATGCAATTTTTTCATGTTGAAAATCGGAGGATTTTGGAGGATTCATTATGGTTCCTAGTAAAAAGGCCTAGGGGGTTAGGGTTTTAAAAAAGAAAAAGTCTGTATAAAGCCAAGTAACAAACAACACCTGTTTAGCTTTGACGTTTTCCAAAAGAAAAAAGAAAGCGGGCCTTTCTATTTTTTTTTATTTTCAAGATGGCTACCATCCCTTTTTAAAAGCATGAGGCCAGTAACACATTATTTGAATATAAAAAACACTGAGGGGGCATGGATGCGGTTGGAGAGGCAGAATCTATCGTGCCCACCCCTACTTGACAGTGTTAAAAACAATGGGACTTCTAGAGGTCAAAGGTTGTAGTGTCTGCAGCTATTGTGCTGATATAAACTTGGATGGTTTTGCCGGTTGTCACTGCTTAAGTTGATCTCTTAACCTTGCATATGTTAGATTTCATGAAAATTGGTCTGAAATTCTTCTTGGGGGGGGGCACTTTTGATCATGAAAACCGTTTACATTCTTCTTCTGTCAGTCATGTTTGAGTTTTTATAATCACTCTCTTTGCAGCTTTCGTAGACATGAGATTGAAGAGTTCTTTCAGTATCTAGCGTCAACAAAGCACCAAGATGGAGGAGGAGGCGGGGTCTCAGACGGTATCAGGCCCAAGCTCCAGGTATGTGAAGTGAGGGTTAAAGAGGTGAATAGTCTGGTTCCAGAATCACTACGAATGCTGGTTACATGTAGCATTGCACTGTTTGTTGTTGATCTTTTAACAAATATTGGAATGTATATGGTATACCGAGGAAAATGATGGTTTGTAGAACATGACAGCCAAGGTTGCAAATTCTCGTGGTAATTGGGGGGGGGGCCAGAAATCCATGTACCTCTACATTTTTTTTAAAGGGGACATTTAATCATCTACCCTCTTCATGGTGAGGACCAAAAATAAATCTGCAGATTTTCAAGGTTTTTTTTTCACAAAAATAGCCAAACTGTACCAAGTAGCACCTAAAAGTGGAGTGTGAACAGTATACAAATATGTGTACATGTACTTGGCCTTTTATATTTGTGAAAAATTTTACAGAGAGGTGTGAGTCTTTGCAGAAAGTGGGAACTCTCACAGTATACACTGTACATGTACCAGGGTACCCGGGGTACGCTTACCAGGAAAGTGGCCGTGTCTAGATTCTGTTTTTGAAACATTTAGCAGTTCTGCTCCATGTGTGTTAGGGGTGTGCGCAGTAGTGCATTACATTTATCCTGCTTTTATCAATGAAGTCCGGTGGTGATGCAACTTGACAAAATGTGTGTTTTTGGCATGGACCTCTGAACAAATGTTACACAGTGTTGGATTTGTACACTGAAGGGTTATCAACATTTGCTTTCACATGATGTATGTGTTAATTAGGATAAATGAACCTGAAGAGGTTTGTTTGCCAGATGAAAAACAATGTGAACAATTACTAAAACTATAGGATCCGTTAATTTTGCCCTAAACGACCAAAGGACTCCAAAAGTTCACAGCACAAAAGACATACAAATTGAAACAGTCAAACTGGGTGGTGAAAGGGTGTTTTATTTCCAATTGTCTCACTTAATTGACTCCGTTTCAAACCGGCAGCAAATGCACACTATGCATGAATGCTTTCCGGGGTGAGATTTCTCAGCTTTTCAGCTAATTTAAGCTTTTTTTGTTTTGGATTTCAGCTTTTTTTCCTCACCAGCTGTGTACAAAAGTATAGGAGATTTTCACAGTTTAGCTTCTTTATGCCTTTTTTCAGCTGTTTTCAGCTATTTCTATCATTGGTCAGTCTCACTGCTGGCTGAGAAAAACCAGCTGAAACCCTCTCAAATTATGTAAACAGCTAGAGTGTGTGAAGCATGCTGAGCCTAACATACAACAGCAAGAATACTTGACAGGATCCTGTTGGGTAGGGTTAATTGTGCAAAGTACTTTCAAGCTGTGTTATAAAATGAAGGAAAAATTTAAAATCTTCACTATGAAATAACAGTGTGCAGGAGATTTTCCACCACCTAAAGCCATTTGCTATTCCAAACTATTCTGCTTTTCCCAAGAACACTCTATGGGATATTTTAGTTACTCATTACTTCAGTTTTTATAATAATGTAGAACAGTCAATTACAAACAGTCAAAGTACATTCTAGATGAAATTGTATGCCTTCACCAACTTCTATACGAGCCAATTCATAAATTGTACTATAAATTGAAATCGAACGGTATGCTAAACAGAACTTCACAGTTACTCATTAACTTTACAATCACTCTGTGCATACATATATGTTCCTGTACAGTAACTCACACTTACATTATGTACACCAAGAAAATGTTCTTTTGCAATATGTACATGTGTACAATGTACATGTATCTCAGAAATCATTTCAGATTAATTTAAATCTTTTGTAATTTTTAAATGACTTCAACATGTACATGTACAGTTACATATGTGTACATCAAATTACACATGTACATACACACCTGTAGATTTAAACACAAATTTGAACGAAGTGCATGTGAATCACAATCTGTGTGCATGCCTGTAGACAAAATTTTCTTTGGCTTTTGAAATAATACAAGGCACTTGTCCATGCTGTCAAATTACAAATACAGATTAACATTACACGGGCATGCACAGTATATCACGTGTGCAGTATTTTGTAGTGCAAGGCCTATCTCAACATGGCCTGTACAACAGCATTAACTGTGTCATTTCTCACCCTGGGGAATCCCCAAGCTTTGCAATGGCATTCAAAATGTAGTTTCAGTTGCATATGATATGTTCTTTATAAAATGGACCAAAATGCAACTCCAGATGTCATTTTTCAAAACTTCTAAAAAAGTGTCTTTGATCATATTTTAACCACCCCTTTTTTTCAGACTGAAGTGTTGCGTTACATTTTCATGGAGGTCAGCATTTCAGTCTCATTGTTATGGATGTACACATGTTCAAGTAACTATTTCAAATTGATTTTAATAACTGTTTCAAATTGGGTTCAATTTTGAATGGCGTTTTGTATTTCCCATCAAAAACTGTATAGTATCGTTCTTCTACCAGGGCCAACTCCATTGAGCTGCTTAAGCACACAATTTGCTTAAGTGTGAAAAAACCTTGCTTAAAAACAAAGGTTACCAGCTCAGACTCTATGCGATTGTCATGCTAACCAAAAGACGATCCCAAAACAATGTACATCATATTGAGTTTTGGCTGGTTACCTGACTTATCAAGCAAGGTTTTCTCGTGCGAGTTTTGGCTGGTTACCTGATTTATCAAGTAGGTTTTCTTTTGCTTAAGCAAATTTTGTGCTTAAGCAGCTCTATAAAATTAGCCCCTGCAGTGCTTTGCTCGAAAAGTTACTGAGTACGTTGTGAAGGTGGTTAGGAGTGCTGGTACGGTAGGTACATGTACAGTGTACATATATTTGGTTCCATAACTTCAAACCAGTTTCATACATCAATAGTTTGTGTAAATATGTAGCACATGTACCATGTACTTAAGCAGGGGCCAATTTCATAAAGCTGCTTAAGCACAAAATTTGCTTAAGCGTGAGAAAACCTTACTCTATATTGGATTTATATTGTTTTGGGATTGAATTTAGCTCTTTTTTTGATTAGCGTGACAATCAGATAGAGTTTGAGCTGGTAACCTTTGTTTATTAAGCAAAGTTTTTTCCCACTTAAGCAAATTTTGTGCTTATCTGCAACCCTGTTGGCAATGGTTTATAACCACTCAGGTGGTTGTGTGATCAGTTCATAGGTTGCATGTATGTCTTCAGTGCTGTGGCCAGCACCCTTACACCTTCGCCCTTCACCCCTTTTGTCCCCAGTTTAAAAGAGTTATACACCTCGTCTTTTCTTCATGAATATATGTAGTTTGTGCATTCCATTAAAAAAAATTTTTTTAAATGTAGGTTTCATTTATGAAACCTACATGTAAGTCTGCAAACACATGCAACCAAAAAGAAAAGAAAAAAACACGGCATATCATTTCTCAGTAAAGTTAAAACAGTGCACTGAAAGCTAACTACGTTTTCACCTTTTTTTCAAATGACAATTTATACGTTGTAGGCACATACATTACATTTATTTTCAAAAAATGGTTTAATAATTTTTCTCACCAAATTTACAGTATAATTGAAACGTTGAGAAACTTCATGCATAAGTACCACCACGTAATAGAATGCTACAGGAGTCATCAACACAGTCACAATTTTTGTAGAGTTCCTTTCAATTTGGTTGTATCACAGCAGTTCTCTTCTAGTTTTACTATTGCTTAAAATTCACACACATTGCTACGTGTATGGTACATTGCACATTGTGAAACCAACTTAAGTGTGATCAGCGTCCTGCCTCTATCATGACTTTTACTCCATTTTTTTTGGCAGTCAGTTGCAAAGTTGCAAATGTTTTTGAAAATTTCTTTTATTTTGTACTACCTGTGTACACGTGACATAGAACTATCATTTGCATGTTTATTTACATGTGTAAAACTACAATAAGTACATGTTCGTATTAAGTTAAAATGCTTAAATAAGCCATTTGCAAGTTAAATTTGAATAAAATCTGGTACACTGAGTGCTTTAAATTCACATGAACATACCAATTTGAATTCTCCAGACCAAAAGCACTGTTACTATACCTCGTGATTCGGGGCAAGCTTTTGCTTAGTTACATAAAAGACACCTTGCACCAATACACTGTTCTCAATGGATAAGAAAGGCACAAAGGACTGGTCCATTCCAGGGATGGTGGTCGCTATGCAAAACCTTTCCCCGAATCACAAGGTATAGCAACAGTGTCTTTCGTCTGAGGAATTTGAATTGTTATGAGATAACATAGTGTACCAGATTTTATTCAAATTTAAGTCGCAAATAGCTTATTGCACAGAAACAATTTTTTTCCAATCGCAGTTTCAAAAACGCATTACAATAAGGATCTTCCATTTTTTTTCTTTTCACTGACATACAAAACAGACCCTTTTCCCTCCGTAATACGTGAATACACTGCCGTGAAATATTAAGAATTGAAAAAAAAGGAGACAATTATTATGAGTTGTGCATTGGCTTCTTTTGAAGCTTTATCCCCCACAGTAACATAGCCTTACCTTTTCAAGCTTGATATCTGCATTTCCACAAGGAATCACCTTAAATCATTTAAAATACTCAGCTATGGCACAACAGCCACATTTTTCTGATGACTAAACACGGACATGTAAAGTGTGAAGAAATGCAAAGTACATGTAATAAAAGTGCAACTGTTTGACACTGTTGATCGTGTGTACCAAACAGTAAAGCTATACACAATCTGGAGAAATTCATGAAGCCTGCCTGTGTTCTGAAGTCTTGTGTTGACTTTGACTCCATGGATGCTTTCGATGTCAGCGGTGAAGCGTCATCTCAGGTCTTTTTCTCGGAGGGAAAAATCTCCAGTTCTCTTCCGCACCAGAACTGCAGTGGAAGTAAACAGTGGTAGAATTAACATTTGGGTTTAAACACATGTAGTTCTCATCTTCTTTTGAAAGGAAAACATGGTCCCATTTCAGTTACCAGTATATTGGGGTCAAAAAAGGTTCCTCTTGAAAGGAAAGTTCTTTGATCAGATTTGCAAAAGATACACATGTACTCACGTTTGACACTGTTTTTCCCCTCATACTTTTT